TCCACACACAGGAGGGTTTCCCTTCCTGCAGCTACCAAGGAGAGCAACGGCTCTCTAAGGAGGAAGAGGGAAAGAGAAAGGCCGGCTGGCCTGGTCTTGTGAGAGTCTGGGGCTTGGTTGGCATGCCATGGGGGAAAGAGATGCCCAGTATCTCTGCCACCACTGCAAGGAGGTTTTGATGCCCTGCCTACCATCCCTCCTACCCACAAGATGCAGGGAGCAGAAGGAGAGGGGGGTGTACGTTCCTTGGCTTCAGGGGAATCTGCAAATGCTGAGAAATGAGGCACGAGATGGTTTGGAATGCCTGTCTCTTATTCCAAGTCAGCCTTTGGCTCCGGAGGGCTCAGCCTCTGCCTCCTGCAGTTTAGTGGAAGTGGCCCTTGGAGGATTTGAACGGCAGCCTTTCCCAGTCTTCTCTGGGGACGTCAGGGACGGAGCCTTGCATGTGAAGCAGGCGCTCAGCCATTCTTCCTTTAGTCAAATTGTTCCACGATACCTTGGGGGAAATATACAGCGTTCGCTTCAAATCCGTAATGTGACTGCAGTCCCAGTCTCTGTGGTAGAATTATTGGGGGTCTGCCAAAGTATTGTCCTTTCGCGCTGCTGAACGAAGGAAACACCCAGGTTCTCCTGGTCTTCTGCAGTGAAGGGGGCCTGGAAGAGGGCCAGTGCCTCCCCTCCATCCCCCCCTGCAATCCCCTTGAGGCAATGGGGGAACCTTCCTACCACCATGCTCTGATGCCTGTCACATAACTCCAGATTAGAGGTCCCCAACTAGGTATTCTTGGACAACAACTCCCAGAAGCCTTCTGCACTAGCTGGGCTGGCCAAGCTTTCAGGGACTTGTAGTCCAGGAACACCTGAGGACCCAAGGCCGGGAGCTGCTGCAGTCTAGATCATTCCGCATTTTTCAGCCAGCACCTCAAAGCTTGCATATAAGCAGGACTGGACTGGACGCCAAGAGGGTGGATCCCGTGTAGGGCGCAGAGAAGGGCTGGACAAGCCAAGAGGATGGAAGGCCACCACAGGGACTTACTCAGAGAGCAAGCCATCTCTTTTTTTCTCCCCACCAGATGCAAGCATTTGGTAAGTCCGGAGGAGCCTCGGCACAGGAGCCTCCTCAATTTAACAAGGACATTTTTCTAGAAGGACTTGAGCCTCATTCCAGCAAGATGGCACAAACATGGAAGCTCTAGTAGACGACTTCAGGTATACAGTATGTATTTCTGGGGCATGGGGTGTCGTAGCTTGAGATCTGTCTTCCCAGGCCAACTATACAGCCTGCAAGAACCTCCTGACAAAATTTTGCTTGTGTATATGTTTTTTCCCCCCTTTAACAGCCGTGGCAGGAGTTTTGCAAAGCCTGAGGAATGGATCTGGATTGACAGAAATCATGAGGAACAAGCAGAACGGGGTGGCAGAGAGCTGCAGGACATGTGTGCCAGCTGTCAGCACGTGGGCAGCCCATAATTCAGTCCGAGGCCCCCCACCCCTGCTAAAACCGCAGGCTGCAACTGCCTTCTATCCCATACACGTCCCCAAACTTCAAAACATCCCTTTTCTGGTGGCCGTTGCTGCGCCACAGTGATCGGCCTCCCTAGCTGTGCAATTCTGGGGGATCCATAGATCTGACAATGAGCTTTTCCTCACGCTGACAGGTTTAGGGATGATCCGTGGCCCTGCAATTCCTGCCGAAACTCTTACCCTGGCCTGCAGTGCTGTGCATGTCTAAGCATAACAGCCGGAAGCAGTCGGGGCTTGTTCAGAGGCTGCCTTGAAACGTTCACGGGCTGGCTTTGTTCAATCAATCACCTCCCCTGAGATCCCTCATGTTCTCTGCTTTTAAAGCCCCATCCCTCGGCACCCACCCGTTGCCTCTCTCAAACTGCCACTGCTTTGCCTGCAGATGCGGGTCAGCACGCGGAGAGCCCGGCTGCTCCCTGCTGAGACAGAAACTCCTGCTAAGCAATTATCACACTCACCGGAGAGGGTAATCTCTCGCGCGGCTGGGTTCCCTGCTCCCCTGGGGGCCCGCGCTTCACTCCGCTTGAAACCATTCCTTTTCTGTTCCGTCGGGTGTCCCCGCTGCACGCGCCACAGATGTTCCTACACCAAAGTGCACAGGGCTGTGATTCCCTTTTCTCTCCGTGTGTGTCCTGCCTGGATCTCTAGAGCCAGCTAAGAACTACCTTTGATGAGAAAACTCTAAACCACAAGCTTGAACAGTAAAAGCTTACGGAGATGCGTAGCTGCCCCCCCCCCAAGATTCCCCATGAGCTGGGTATTCCTTTAGCAGTTAACTTTATTCTACATCTTTTCTTTTAAAAGCTGAATTACTGACTGAAACCCCATTGCTTTAACCTAATAAGTCATAATAAAGGTAAAGGTTCCCCTTGACATTTAGTCCGGTCATGTCTGACTCGAGGGCGTGGTGCTCATCCCTGTCTCCAAACCATAGAGCCAGCATTTTGTCCGTAGACAAACTTCCGTGGCCACGTGGCCAGCACGACTAGAAACGGAACGCCGTGACCTTCCCACCGTTGTGGTACCTATTTATCAACTTGCATTTGCATGCTTTTGAACGGCTGGGATGGCCAGAGCTGGGACGAGCGACGGGAGCTCCCTCCGTCACGGGGATTCAATCTTACGACGGCTGATCTTCTGAGCTTGCAGCCCAGAGGCTTCTGTGGTTTAACCCACAGGGCCACCACGTCCCTGTTCACACTAGAGTACGCCCACTGAATTGAGGGATTTGTAAGTCAACGCCTATTTAGGTTCCATAGATTCAAATGGGCCTACTCCAGTAGTGACTTAACAAATCATCCCTGATTCAATGGGCCTACTCTAGTGCCTTTTGTTTCTTTCTGTTCATGGGGTTTTCTACTGGAGGGGCTTGCCAGTTCCTGCTCCAGGTGGATTGCGTTTAGTCATAACTCTCCACTAGGACCTGTCCGTCTTGGGTGTCCCTGCACGGCCGAGCCCATAGCTTCTCTGAAGGAATCAAGCCCCTTCACTACAACAAGGCAGCAATCCATGAAGGGATTTTTGAAAGACAGATCCTGAAGCGGAGGCTCCAATCCTTTGGCCATCTCATGAGAGGAGAAGACTCCCTGGAAAAGATCCTGATGTTGGGAAAGTGTGAAGGCAAGAGGAGAAGGGGATGACCAAGGACGAGATGGTTGGACAGTGTGGTCAAAGGGACCAACATGAATCTGACCCACCTCCGGGAGGCAGTGGAAGACAGGAGGGCCTGGCGTGCTCTGGTCCATGGGGTCATGAAGAGTCGGACACGACTTAATGACTAAACAACAACAACTCTAGTGCAATTCACTATGCTTAAGTAACAGGATGAGGGTGTGGAGGGGGAACACAGAATCTTGTATGCAGTCAGCATCAGAGTTTCCTACTCTTATTCAGGCGTTATGTGTAAAAAACCAAAATTAACAGTTGGAGAATAAGCCAGGAAAACACACTTGTACCTAAATATACTGATGTATCTTTTCTACAAATACTGGAGAGAACAATCTGCCTCCAAGCCTAAGCACACGTGCTAGATAGTAAACCCTGCTGACAACCATGGGGTCTACTTTTGAGTAAATGTATAAAATAACGGTGCTGGCTGTGTTATATTAAGTCAGCCAGACCAATATTGATATTAAAGGTGCACATACAGGAATAACTTGCTTCCTGCTGCATCTCCACTCCATCGGTGGTACTAAGCGAACCTCAGCGTAACATCCACAAACATGTGGGGCTGCCTGAGAGGACTACGAATGATTTGATCCACACAAGAACAGGCACACGCGGGAGGAAAGAATGCTGATCATCTTCCCAGCAAACCTGCACTAGGATGGAAAAAGCTGGACCTTGTTATTTCAATACAATAATGAAGGGATCAACGCCTATGGATATGCCCCAGTCTCCATCAGAGTAGACCCACAGATTCAACAGAACTTACACACATGTTGACTTACTATTCCGTCATCGATTCCATGGCTCTACTGTATAGCTCAGACCAGCTCTCTAATATTGACCTTTGTTTAGTAATCCTTTTCTTTTCAGACTCATAAGGTGCTCAAGATAAGACTATGCCATTCCTCTGCTCAAAACGTTTTGATCCTCCGAGCTACCCTATAAAATACTGTAATTTAGGCTGAACAGAAAACAATGAACCCACGTTCCTCATGCCTATTTTAGAATCATGCTTCATTCATGAGCCCAACTTAGGGACAGAGAACTTCATAACGGAGTACTGTATAAGCATCCACAGGTCTTGGTCCCTGCCAATGGCAGTCTTTGGAACCGAATCTGAATCTGGAGAGGAGACCTCATCCCCTCCCCTTCCGCTATGAATCGAAAGGGAAGTGCACTAAGAGTGCTCCTTTCCGACTGTCGTGGTCCTGCAGAATGATGAGCTGTTGAATGCATGGCCCACTATTCTCTATTTAAGTCCATTTTAAGAAACACCAGAGCATCAAAATGGCTGCTTGGTGGGCCACTGGTGACATCTACTGGCAATGGTAGTAAATTGAGTCCCGATTGCGGGACCAGGAAGGCCAGCGTGGTCTATGGGCCAGACAAGGTACAAGGACTCAGGAGACCCGGCTTCAAATTCCTCCCTAGACATAGAAACTCATGGGGGTCGGGTGGAGAAGAGCAGTGGAAAACCATTCCTTCAACATCTTGCCTATCTCTAAAACCCTGTCAGGGTCAACATAACTCTAAAGCAACTGGACAACTCAGAACAGCAGCACAGGCCAGCGTAGGACATCCCCGTAAGCTTGTAAAATTGTATTTCTGGAAATGTTTCCCCTGAATCACTGGAAATAATTATGTGTCTTGCACCAACATTCCCAGCCAACACCATCGTCTGAGCAAGTGGCACGTGGGCCAAGGTGGGCCCCAGGACAGGAGAGATGAGAAAGCTCGTTTCCCCACCCCCGCCCACCCCCCAGGATCGGCAGGAATTCCAATTTTTAATAAGATCTTTAATTGTCCTATGGAGAAACAACAGCCATGTTGCCTAAAAGGAAAACAGCCAACCCTTCCTCCAAATCAGAAAATGGTTGATGGACGTGAGAGCGCGTTACTGCCCCCAGTCCAGCATGAAGTGTCTCCGGTGCCTTTTCCGTTGCTCACTTCTTAGTGCCTGATTCTGAAACAGGTTCACAGGAAACGCCTTCATGATCTCTGTGGGAGAAACAGGTGCTGTGCCCAGGTGCTTTGCAGCGGACATAGAAGATGATGGCCCTCAGCCTCCCAGATAAGAAATAGATCAACCAACGTTTAGGCAGCAGGCTTTTGGTGAAAGAAGGGAGACAGTCTGAGCTTGGAAATACCGCTGACTGGCTGGGGGATTCTGGGAGTCTGGAAAAGGAACATTTCCAAAGCTCTGGGAATGTCCCCTCTCTTTTCCCCAGAGAAGAAGACTCCTCCACAGTTCAGCCTCTTCACAAGATTGAACAGGATTCTAGACGGGAAATGTTCTAGGGTTCTAGAGGGGCCAGAACAGAAACACCACGTGGCTAAAGGATGGAGCTGTCTCCTCACCCAGTCGCACGCTCTCCACTTAAAGCTCCGTGAGATCGTCATTGAAGTAGAGCAGGATGGCCGGGGTGTAGGAATCGGCGTCCATGCTGAGCTGGTAGAACTCCTCGTCCTCGTCCAGAATGTGGTTCTGCTGCAGGTTCTTGTCCATGTCTAGGTTGACGCCTTCGTACTTCCACGTGTAGCTGGCCGCGTGGGCGTTGTAGGGGAGGTATCGCCGCAGGATTTCCCACATGGATTCCTCTGCACAGACCTGGGGGAAGGTCCCAGAGACGGAATTGTAAGAGGCTGGAGGGCATCTCAAGATCAGGGCCTTTCTCTCCCCCCCCCCCAGTCTTTGTCCCGGCCATGGGGTGTGGTGGGGCAGGGTAGAAAGACAGCCATAAGTCAGTTGAGTTGGTCTCCCACGATGTTATTTCACCAAAACCTTAGCAAGGGAGGAAGGTCACGTGTTTACAAGTTTTTGGCTAGTGTGATCATGGTGAAGAAGAGCGGGCGAAACATGGGCTTCTGCACACAGTTCCTCCTTCTCAGCCACTTGTGCCAGGGGAGTCTGGTAATCCCTCTTCTTCTCAATGGGGCAATCTCTGGCTCGGGGAACTGCAAGCCAAGATCACCGCGGGGGCGAATGCAGAGCGTTTCAGCCAGGGAGCCCTTTATACCTTGCCTTTTTGCACGAGCCTTTCTGTACTAAACATAATAATAATTAAAAATAATAATAACCCTAGCTAGGTGGTGATGGGCCAGGACTCACCTCCAGGGTCTGCTCCTGAGAGGTCAAGGTGTTGATGATCCGTATGCGCCTGGTTTTGGCCGACAAGATGCCCACCTCATACAAGGGATCTTTCCACCAGGGCCTGCCAAAGTCGTTGGCCCAGTCTGAGCGAGGCAGTTGAGGTGGGATATGAACAAAGCGTCCCTGTGGGGTATAATACTTGAGGCACCCAGTTAGGGGGTCAATGTGCGTTTGTATCTGAAAGAAAGAAAAAGCTTGTGATGAGCTCCGGTTCCTGTTTTCAACTGAGACAGGCGCAGATTCCAATTCAAAGGACATGGTGAAATAAATATCATTCCACAGTGTAGTCCTGGTTCAGAATTAAAAATCCTATTTAAGACCTTCAGCAATAGAGCTAAGTCATTCCTCTTTGCTCTGATCTTAAGGTGGGGTTTTTCAAATATTCATTTTATGACTGAGTGATACAATGGAGAACTTAAAGAATAAAAAAAGGGCATCATTTCTGTTTTATGACCTGTGCATGATAACATCGGTGAGATCTATAAAACAAAACAAGTTCATCCCTGGGGGCAGGGAAGAATATGGAGCCCATGAAAGTGGAAAGCCAGGAGGTTTATTTAGGGTACTGTTAAAGTGTGGGTCACCGGGGCCATTTCTGGCCATGGTCCCTGACTTCAGGCCATCATGGAGACAGTGAGAAACCAGGCATGAGACACAGGGATCCGGAGGGGTCATGACAGCTGAAGGATGGAAAGGTGGAGGGCCTCTGAGGGGTGTTGGTGACATGCACAGCATCCTCCCAAAGACATTTGCTCTGTGCCTTCGCTACAGTCATTTCAGCATCAGAAGGATTTCTCATTTTTCCAGGCATTTGAGAAACAGTTTCCATGCATTTAGGTCTCTCAACCCACTGATTTGAATCCAGTTTCATTTTTCAGATCTGTCTGCATGCCACCAGAGAACTACCGCTCCTCTGCAGTCTAAACAGGTAAAAAGTCAATCAAACGTGAGAAAGACACTTCTTTTGTCCCACCACCACATCCTGCCAGTTCAGGACGGCTTTCTCCTCACAAGTGCTAGAGCTAAAGGTACTCACATCTTTAGTTTTGGGGTTGAACCAGTGGCTAATGTCTTTCCCTGCAGCTTCTAGGATAGGTTTCATCAAAAGATCACCTGGAAAACATACACAGATGTGAGAAGCTGGTCTCTCCGAAGTCACCTCTGTCAGACCAGTATTTATCTCAGCATCTCCAGCTGGGAGGCATCCCTACTACCTCCTGCTTTAATCCTCTAAAACAGCATTTCCCAACCTCGGGGTCCCCACTTGTTCTTGAACTAAAATTCCCAGAAGTCTTTACCACTCACTGTGCTGGCCGGGATTTCTGGGAGTTGTAGTCCAAGAACCCCTGGGGACCTAAGATTGGGAACCACTGTTCTACAGCAGAGTGAAGCGTGAGTTCCCTAGAAGCAAAAATGACTCAACTGAGCCTGTTGTCCTTCAGGCACATAACGATAAAGAAAAGAAGTCACTGGAAAAGGCAGTCATGCTGATAAAGGTTTCACAGAACAGAGGAAGACTGGATGTGAGACAGATTGAGGCAGTAAAGGAAGCAACGGCCAGTCGTTTGCAAGGCCTGAGTAGGGCTGTCGGTGGTAGGAACTTATGGAGATCAGTGATTCAATAGGGTCTCCTAAACCCCCTGCAAAAAAACAGCAGAGTGAAGCGTGAGTTCCCTAGAAGCAAAAATGACTCAACTGAGCCTGTTGTCCTTCAGGCACATAACGATAAAGAAAAGAAGTCACTGGAAAAGGCAGTCATGCTGATAAAGGTTTCACAGAACGGAGGAAGACTGGATGTGAGACAGACTGAAGCAGTAAAGGAAGACATGGCCAGACATTTGCAAGGCCTGAGCAGGGCTGTCGGTGGTAGGAACTTATGGAGATCAGTGATTCAATAGGGTCTCCTAAACCCCCTGCAAAAAAAAGGAAGAATTCCCAGTCGATCAGAGCACAAGCTTGAGGCTTCGTACCTCTGAGGAAGGGGACCGCAGTCCAGGGAATCTTTTGCCGCAATATTATCCCTTCGTTTTTCCAGATGAGACAAATGACTCTGGTTTGCAAACAGTTTTGCAAAGACCTTCCTGATCAGGTGTGCTTCCTCCTAGTGACAAATGGCCCAAGAGCCGGTTTTAAAATCTTGTTTTCAATATGTTTTCAGAGCTGCTTTTACCCATCAGTTCTAATATTGTATCTGGTTTAATTCCATTTTTTTAAAAAAATCTGTAATAATTGGAGTTTTTTAAAAGCTTTCAGTAGTGATCATTTTGTGATCAGTAGTGATGGCAAATAGAAGGGGAAGAAATGGAGGCAGTGACAGATTTTACTTTCACCATGATCGCTGTTTTGCAAAGGCCTTCGAGAGAAGGCATGCTTTCTCCTAGTGACAAGTGGCCCAAGAGCTGGTTTTAAAATGTTGTTTTCAATATGTTTTCAGAGCTGCTTTTACCCATCAGTTCAAAGCTATGGTTTTTCCAGTAGTGATGTATGGAAGTGAGAGCTGGACCCTAAAGAAGGATGACCCCCAAAGAATGGATGCTTTTGAACTGTGGTGCTGGAGGAGGCTCTTGAGAGTCCCCTGGACTGCCAGGAGAACAAATCTATCCATTTGAAGGAAATCAACACTGAGTACTCACTGGAAGGACAGATCCCGAAGCTGAGGCTCCAATACTTTGTCTAACTCATGAGAAGAGAAAACTCCCTGGAAACGACACCGATGTTAGGAGAGTGAAGGCAGAAGGAGAAGGGGATGACAGAGGGTCAGATGGCTGGACAGGGTCATCGAAGCGACCAACATGGATTTGACCCAACTCCGGGAGGCAGTGGAAGACAGGAGGGCCTGGCCTGCTCTGGTCCGTGGGGTCACGAAGAGTCGGACACGACTTAACAACAACAACAAAAGTGATCGTTTCCACATTGCAAGCCACCTTGAGGAGAATAGATGTTGGAACCGTATCCACAGGGATCGGTTCCAAGCCCACCCGTGGATGCTGAAAAACGCAGATTAGAGGGAACGCTATACCTCGCACAGTCTCTGCAGTACTTCCCTCTAGTAGCCGGTTCTGTTAACTTCACCTTTAGAAATATACATTTCTTGGATGTTTTCTTTAATATTTTCACGCGGTGCGGGAAAGTGAATCAGCAGATATTGATCCCGCGGATAAGAGGGTCCCACTTGAAATTTAAAAACGCTGTCTCTAACAGAGGCCAAAGACAGAAAGGTGGCCAAAATAAAGGCGACCGAGCCCAATCTCCTCCCCCACACACACACCCCATTCCTAGCCTGCTTGTCTTCAGCAGGTTGCCCGGAGAGGTAGACTGCCGCTGCCTAGGGAGGCTCCCCCGCTCAGGGCGCCTCTGCCTCACCCCGGCATACTTTACCCTGGTGGACCGCGGCCAGGGGGGTCAGGTCGTAAACCCGCCCCAGGAAAGAGACCCAGAGGTCCCAAGGCCGGTTGTGCACCGACACCTCCCGCGGGGTGTAATAGCGAGGCCGGCCCGAGTCCATGGCCGCCCGGAGTAGGCCTCAGCCGCCGCCAGAACCGCTGCCATGGCAACCGCCGCCTCCGCAGCGCCAAGCGGCCGCACGGCCTGATGGGAAAATGAGTCCGGGCAAGGGGAAGGCGAAGGGAAAGGAGGAAGAGGGCGGGGCGAAAAGGGAAAACAACCACTCACACGGCGGAGGGGGGCGTGGCCGCGCAGAGGCTCCCGGACGCCGGTCCGCCGAGGGGCCTTCTGGGAAGTGTAGTGCCGTCCGCGGCCGGCGGCGG